GAAACAGGTGGAGGCTGAGGGACCCACCTGCCGTCCCCAGGCTCCAGCAGCTCAAGAAAATACCATAGAGCCACGAGCTTGTCAGGCAAGCTTCCCTGAGCCTCAGCGTCCAGGCAGCAAAGCCAGAGCAGGAGGGCAGGTCCTGCAGAGGGCCAGCGTGTATCTTTCCATGGGCTTATACAGGCCTGAGTGCAGCCTGAAGATCCCAAACTCATCCCTCCCAAACCCAGAGAGAGGCCTGTGCAGGGCCTTGGGCAGGAGGCAGCCGCAGGGGCCTGTCCAAAGGGGAGGGGAGGCGTGGAGAGTCAGAAATGCACTATCAGCACTGCCCGTCCTCCCCACTTCCTCTCCTCGAACGGATCACATCCTGTTATTGTGTGGACAGGGGCGGCCAGGAGCTGGGGAGGGAGGCAGGGCTCAGACCAGGGGAGCGGGGAGAGAAAGGAGGAGCCAGAGAGAATGTCATAGTGGGCACTGAGTAGCTTCGGCCTGGCCCTGCCTCACCCCAGGTGGCCTGGGCAGGAGTTGGGTACCCAGGAGGGAGGACTAGTATCCCTGGAGCTAAATTTGCCAATGACAGAAGATGCTGGGGCTCAGGACAGGCTGTGCCTCCCTGCAAAGGCACCTGGAAGAAAGGAAATAGCACCTCCTCCAGCATGGGGCAGGTCCAGAGGAATCCCTGCTGCTGTGAACAATTAATGTTCCCACTTCCCCCTCTGTGCTTTTTCTTTCTTCTGCCTTTCCCAAGTACAGCCCTATCCCCACCCCACTCCCACAATGGGGTTTAATATGGCTGCTTTCTATGAAACACACACACTTTACATATATTCTTTTTTCTTCTTCTTTTCTTATCCTCACACAAGGATATTTTTTCCATTGCTTTTCACAGAGCGTGAAAGGCAGGGACAGAGAGAGAGAGACAGAGAGAAACATCGATGTGAGGGAGCCCTGACCGGGGCTGGGGATCGAACCTGCAACCCAGGTACATGCCCTTGGCCAGAATCAAACCTGGGACCTTTGGGTCTTCCAGCCAATGCTCTAACCACTGAGCCAAACCGGCTAGGGCTACATATATTCTTTTGAAATCCCATGATATCCCTGTAAGATGGGTGTTAAATTCTTCATTTAACAGACTAGGAAACCGAAGCTCAGAGAGATTAAATGATTTACCCACAGTCACACAGCAGGTACAGTAAGTGGCAGTGCAGCTCTGGGCCTTAAACCCAGGTAAGTCTGACCCCAAAGGCTTGGGTCTTTCTGTGGCCCAGCTGCCTTTCCTGCTCCATCCCACCTGTGCTCTGGCCTTTCCCTCCCGGAGCTGACACCACATCGATGGTCCTCATTGCCCAGGAGCCTGCCTTCGAGCTGAACTTGTTGCTGTTGGCAAGCTCTCCAGAACCCATACTGACTGCCCGTGGCCCTGGGCGGATGGCTGGGCAAGCTGAGCTGCTCCCCCCCCCCCCCCC